ATCTCATTCAAATAATGTGTAGCCTGTTATCCCTGAATACTCTAAAGATTCTTCTGGATGTTTACAGAGCCATACTTGGAGGACCTAAACCGTGACATCCAGAGTGCGGAGCCTGAGCTGCTTTACTACGGACGAGATCCAGATCCAGATGTGGGTCAGGAACACCTCCAGCATCAGATTGAAGCAGTCACTGAGGACATGAAGGAGTTGTCGTGGGACAGCAGCGGCGCTCAGGACTGGTACGATGAAATGTGCTGACTCATGCCTCACTTATGTCTGTCAGCCACGCAGATACAACTGTGACTGTTCGTGTGATATCCTAACAGACCATAATGTCCCTCCCTGTTCCTTGTAGGCAGCAGGCCAATTCTCCGATGACAGTTTGTGCTCCCCCAGCTTCCACAGTGGCTGCCAGCCAGGCCTTCACTTATCATAACACAGATAGTGCTGAAGTCACATCAGCCTGGCCACATTGTGCTCTGAGTGACCAGCCATCAGCAGAACAGGGTGAGAGTCACTGCTCTGCTCAGGTGTTTAATAAGGACTGCGGGGAAAGTGTAATATGTTGATTTCATATCTTCTACAGGGGCTTGGTCATACTCTGGAGCGACCACAGTGAGTCATATTTTATAATAATTAAAAGAAAAGCAAAAATATGTTCATGTTCTTGGTTTGAACACACTTTTGCCATATTTTTCTGGATTCAAACTTTTTCAGTGAAAGTATTTGCTAGAAGTCTCGATATTTACCAATGTTTTTAGCAGGGTAGTTCTGATAAAGAGAGGCTGTTTGAGGAACTTATCCATAGTCAGTGTTTTACCTATATTAGATGGGGGTCTGCACACCCATCATTTGGTGAAATAGACATGAGTTACAGCAGGAAGCTAAGCAATGTACGACTGTGGATGGGGTGAACTCATATTAGCCACCTTAAATAATCCATATTTGTTTAACACGCTTTGTTTATAATAGTTTTACAGCTTTCAAAAGTATATTTCTATGAGCCCCGGAATCTTCTTTCAGTTGTTTCCAGTGAGACAACCGCCGTTGCAGCCAACTGCCTTGACTGATCATTCAGCTGTTTTTGTGGGTTCCCTCTGAGCTATTGGAGTTGAAAACATTCACACTTTTCAAAGAGCTCTGGTGACATTGCTGAAGAAAATGGAGATGTTTGTATTTGGCCGTATCCGTCTATCCTGATCGTAATTTCGAAACTATCAAAATGACAAAGACAGAAAACATAATTTGTCGGATCTGATTGGCTTGGCCGACATTAAATGTTGCTGTCAGTGAGTGTTGTACTTTATGCCAAATGCAGATCTTCCTCCTTGCTTTACAGCTGTCAGACTGAGCCGTGAATTTAATTCAAAAAAGTTGTGCGCAAGAATCCTCCAGTTGGTGCTCATCGTGAAAAAAACGATTTCAAATCAATATATAGTCCCACAAATAGATAATTAAGAGCAAAGTTTGTCTCTCAACAGCGGCGATACGGTGCCAACATATCGTTGTCATACAAAACATTAAATTAAACTTTAATTAAACACTGGGATGAGGCTCTTTTCTGAAAACTGATATGTGGACTCAAGGCCTTGTCTTGCTTTCGGAAGCCTTTTTCTGACGGGAAACTGAATCTGCTATAAAAACACCATTCTCCTTTGACAAAAACAGTCCCTTTGAGCTTGTAGACTGTAGAGCATGACTTGGTAAATGTTGCTGGTCAGCCGTAGCCTTGACCTGCTATTTTCTTTGTCTTATTACACACTGGTAGAGGTTTCAGATTCACTAAAGTCACACAATACTGACTAATATGGAGAATTCACTCCTACATTTTCCACATTAAACACCTCCACAAACAATTTAAGCAATGCATTGGGAAATGTTTCATACAAGTCACAGACAGTGTGTTGTCTGTCCATACTTTCCTTTAAGATGGGGGTTCAGATGCAGGAAGTCCACTTCAGTCAGCAGGGGCAGCAGAGCACCCCCCAGAGTTCAGAGGCCTACGAGCAGAACAGCGAGCCCCCTAAACAGGTACCTGTTACACCACAGGGGACACAGTGCCGTTTGTTTGGCTGGGGTCTCATTATCTCTCTTTCCTCGTTTCACTCTGAACACCCAGGCCGGGTGGTTCAGTGGTTGGTTCAAATCCAAACCTAAAGACGTTCCAGAGGAGAGAACAGAGCAGAGAAGCACAGCTCAGACGGTAAGAATCAAGTCAATTATAAACATTATTCTATTCATTTTCACTTTTCTAATATCAAATATATATTGTTGTATCTCTTTTAAGGATTTCCCCCCGACGTTTGGCTTCTGTCCCCCCCCTCCGCCTGCCATGTTTCCATCCCAGCTGGGATCAACCCCTTTTCAAGGAAAGCAGGTGAATAGGAACTGATTTTAACTGCTCACTGTTTTAAACTATGCGTTTAATTTAGATTTCTTCCAACCATTCCAAAAATTGCTGTTATTAACTTTGCAAAGGAGCTGTGTTTCTTCTGTCTCGCTGCCATAAACACAGTCGTTGACCAGCGTGTCCGATTTCACATTTGGCTAAAACACAGCTGTGAAATGCAGCTTACATTTCTATTGTAATTGACAACAACGCAGTGGCTTGGCAGGCACTGGTGACATTTTACCTACATTAAGTTATGCAAATGACACAGTTCTTTATAATGAAGTCCTTTAATATTTGTGTCTTCTTCACAGACCAGCAGCTGGGATAGAGCCCTGTCAGGACCACTAGACTGAATCACAGGTAAATAAAGTTACTGAAAGGGACAGTTCACCGAAAATCCAAGATGTTTTTTATCTCTAAACAGTAGTGATATTTATTCATTTAAATTATTTTGTGTCAGTTGCAATACTGGAGATATCAGCAGTAGAGATGTCTGCCTTCTCTACAATGTGACTAAATCAAAACAAGCTTGTGGTGCTCAATGTGCAAATGCATTTGATTAACTCAACAGCAATGTGTTTTTTACAGAAATGATGACCAGGTTACTCAAGATAATCCACAGACCTTGTTGAGAATCATTTTATGTAGTAACTCATTCCTTCCCACTGAACCACACCCACCAACCGTATCACCTCACAGACGAAGCATGCACCTACTCATCAAGCTAACGATACATGTCTCGCTGTCCCGAACCATTGCCAATTCCTTCTGCGTAATATGTGTAGTCAATATCTGTAGTTCCTATGTTAAACTTCTCATAAGAAGGTCTGTGTATTACTTTAGTAAGCAGGTCATGATTTCTGGTAAAAGTCCTTGTTGTTGAGTATACCAAATATATTGTTTGCTACTTTGAGCACCACAAGTCGAGTACCAAATTGATATCTCAAACACTGCAACTCGCACAAAAACAATCTTCATGGATTAAAAGCACTAAACATAATAGGAAACATATTAATAATACCACTTTTTTTCTTTGTTCGTAGGACCACTGACTCGACGAGAACCAAAGTGTGAATATCACACCAGCTACCACTACCTGTGCCTTTGTGTTATTAATGAGTTTCAACTGAATTTGGGTAAACATGATAATATCAATCTTGCCCCCCCCCCCCCCCCCACATATTTGTAAGCATGCCCTTTAAACCCCCACAGCCTGCTAGCCATCTTGTTTAGGATACAGAAATACTCTGGATGAAATGTCATAGTAACTCAGATTACAGCGAGCGAAACATCTGAGGAGTGTAAAAGCTGACAGCAGGGAAAACTCCAGAGGACCAGGACATATTTAAGGGAAGGGATATCTTAAATGACCCGGGTAACCATTTATGTATCTGCGCATCCAATGACTCTCATTACTTAATGATATCTGCGCAATATGTAGAGAATCAGTTAAATGTAAGTTATATATAGAAGTATAAATCCATCTGTCCATCATCTTTATACAGTTATGAAAGGAGTATAAGATTGCTTATTGAGGAAAAGTAAACATACCTGACTACAAGTAAAAGTCCTGCATTTAAAACATTATGTAACTATAAGTATTATAAGCATAATACAAATAAAGTATAGAGTAAAATGTTGTGCTAATTTTAACTTTTGATATACTGTTGGCTAGAATCATCTACAGCATATTCTATAGGATCACCATATTTGTAGCTTTGTTCCTGTGAGAACCACATATCTTAAACTCAACTTTTCACGAGTTGCTCAGAACAACAGCCCTGTTTAGTGGCGATGGATTTACCAGCTGATTCAAGATGATTATTAAACAGTTTATTAAGAATGTTTAAAGCTCATTAAGGAACACTATTTCCTTCAGTTCATCGTGAACATACACACAAAATGTAGATACGTTGTTGAATGTAACCGCAATTAAAGCTTTCAGAAAGTTGTAGTGCAGTCAAAGACACAATATCTTACTCTAAGATGTAGTGGAGTAAAAGTATAAAGTTGCATAAAATGGAAATACTTAAGGTAGAACTACCTCAAATTAGTATTGAAGTAGAGTATTTGAGTACATCTACATTCCACCACTCCTTTATTTTTACTATCGATTGTCTATAACCTTAAACAAAATTACCCCTTGACTAAAAGCATTAAAATATAGCTCTGACTAAAAAACTAAAATAATGCCGTGGTCATTCATTAGCTTCACAGAAGCTATGTTTAATCTTACACGCTGACTAAGCAGAATTTGTAAGGCTGCTCAATTATTGCACATGTATGTATGAACATTATTAGATCATGTTAAGGATCTGTAAAGCAGAACAGCTTGAATTATATATGACATATACAGTACAGAACAAAAATAGAGTTGTCATGCTGCCAAGATGAATGATACCACATGTTGTTAGGAGGAGGGGGCGTGTAAACAGCTCAATCCTATAATTGTCACCAGCCAGGAGACAATTATAGGATTGAGCTGTTTACGTGCTGATATTTCCTCTGAGAACAAGCTTTATTTTTAGCCGTTTTTTAATGTTTTTCCGAAGACAAAGCTTGTGTCCTTAAAATGTATATAAATCAAACAGTAATATATGCTTTGGAATATTTTAGAACAAACTTTTTATTATTGACACCATGTAAACATGTCTGGATGTAATTGATTTGTTTACTTCGAGTCCTTTGGCTCTGTGTTTTATGTATTACTGAATATGTCAATGCTTTTGTACAGGCCGTGGATTATTTACCTGTTTATCAGTGCACTTCTGCCTGTCACATATTTAATAAAAACATCACTGCAATCCTGTTGTGATTCCAGACGTGTCCTCAAACTTAATGCAGAGCAAGTGAGCACACAGCAGGTGCCGTCTCCTTTTACTATTAGTTGTTGGAGTCAAGTGTAAGTGGGCCACAGAGGCAGCCAGGATGTGACGCCATTCTTACCGCCTGCCAATAATGTGTCAGCTTATAAACACATTTATAATGGATATCTTTGAATTGATAGACCTCCTACAAACAAAGCATGCCTGTTGTGTCTGGCATTGTGATTAAAATGAGCCACATATTTACACCTGGCATTACCTGCATACTGAAACTAAGACAACCCATTTAACAATGATCCTTTATGGAGATAGACAAAAAAGGAACACGTAGCAGCACGTATTCACATAGCAGCCTGGTCTATTTATGTGGTCAGTAATGTGTCTCAGGAGTTACGACTGGTCTATATCCATGCCATAGCCCTTTATTCAGATATTTCTGCTTGTTTCAGCATTCAGCCCTCACCAGACAATAAAACAGCCTGCATCTGAGAATAAGTGTTGATGTAGCTGTTGTTTTTTTATTCATGGTGGCCTGAGAACATCAAGCTGTCCCTCCAGTTGTCAGGACAACATAATGTACCGGCTACCATCATCAATACTGGTGATCACAGCTGTCATCTAATCTGGCTAATGTCAATGATACTTTAGTTGGTGATGTAAATCTTGTGAATCACTCTTTGATTGATATTCAGTAATTCAATGCTCAGAACCATTCTTACTGTTATAGATTCACCACCTTGGCCACCAGATTCAGAAAGACCAAAGCATCAAACTACAGCACAGGTCATGATAAACCGCCTGCATTTCCTAAACGCAAAGTTGCGGTTTTGTGCATATTTTTAACTATTAGCCTTACATTTAATTCTCACTTTTATAAAGTCTGGAACTCTAGTACTTATGTTCACATCACACTATTAGGCCATCAGCTCCAGTGTCAATGTTCGTGAGAAATTGCTAGGTTCATCTCATGGTAACCCAGCACCGTGGGGAAAGAGGGCGTGTGAGTAAAAACTCTTAAGGTCCAATACATTGCTTAGCTCCTGTGCTGGAACTCCCGAGTGTTTCTCAGAACTTGGGGCATGCCAACCGTCATCTACTTTATGTAAAACACTGACTAGTGCCTCATTTAACCTCACTTCAAACAATTCAAACTAGCCCCCTGACATAAAAATGGGTGCTCGGTGACAGTCAATAGTACTGGCACGGTTGTGGAGGTGTCCAAAACCTGTCTTTAAACTCATTCAGACATTTTGCTCCCTGTGGTGCAGCATATGCTGTGAGAGCTTTGCAGCACACTGGAAAGACTTGTCGCACTCCACACAGACAAAGATCCTGCCGGCACAGGTTTGCTCCTGGTGAAGCTTCAGTGAGGCTTGGTGGCTAAAGTTCTTGCTACAGCCTGTGCACTTGTGGGGTTCCTCTTTGCTGTGGACGTACTGGTGACGGACGAGGCGAGAAGCCATGGCAAACGCCACGCCGCACTCTGGGCACTTGTGGGGCCGCGCTCCGCTGTGAATGGCCTCGTGCTCGCTCAGGTTGGAAGACTTGGTGAAGCACTTGGAGCACACGGAGCAGATGTAAGGACGAACGCCCGCGTGGATCTTCTGGTGCTCTGCCATACGGCTGGCCAGAGCGAAGGCCTTCCCACAGTCGGGGCAGGAGAAGGGCCTTTCTCCCAGGTGCTTGCGCTCATGGCGCTTCAGGGAGAGGGGTTTATTGAAGGTCTTGCCACAGTGCGTGCAGGGGAAAGGCTTGTCATTGGTATGCATGTTCCGCTCGTGCTTTCTCAGGTCAGAGGATCGAATGAAATCCTTCCCACAAGTGTCACAGACGTAGGGCTTTTCACCTGTGTGTGTGCGGATATGCTTGCGGTAATCTGAGGACCAGATGTAGGTCTTGACACAGAAGGGGCAGTGGTATGGTCTTTCCCCCGTGTGCAGACGCTTGTGCTGCTGCAGAGTGCCCTGGTGGGAGTAAGCCTTGCCACATATATCGCACACGTGTGGCTTGAGGCCACTGTGAGTTTGCAGGTGACTCTGTAGGTTGCAGAGCTTTTTAAAAGCCCAGTCACAGTGTGGGGCACTTGAAGGGACGGTGCTCTTTGTCAACCTCACCGCGTTTCTTCATCGCCACCAAAAGTCGAGGGATCTTGTCTCCGTCACACTTTTTGAGTAATTTCTTATTTACATTCTTCTTGTTAATCTCATTTCCAACAACATTTAGCTCTTTGAGTTTAGATGTCTTTTGTTCCTCTGCAGCACTACTTATCCTATGGCTCCTGAGGTATTTAGAGCTTTCCTTCTTTTGGACAGGATCCAGGAGCGTTTCATTAGATCCATAAATTGCATTCTTCTCAATTTGTTTAGTGTGTTGTAACAATCCTCGAGTTTGGTGGTCTGGAGCATCTTTAAATGATTCTTCTCCCTGTGAAAGCTCTGCAAACTTCTCCACCAAAGACCACTTTGGTGTTTGAGGGTTCAGATAAAGAATTCCAGTGTCACTGCTCTCCGAGAGGGAGTTCATTGCCCAAATGCCGCCAAATGAAGAGTCAGGCTTCACATGGTGAGTGTTAACTAAGACCTGTCCCTCTGGGAGAGAGACACAGTGCTTTTCTTGGTGCTCCCTGTTACTCCTCTTTTCTACAACTGCCATGCCAGACAGTCGTGGGGAGATTTCATCAGCCGTGGTCACTTGTAGAGTGGAACACAAATTCATCTGCATGTGTTTTAAGCTGACTTTTAAACACTATGCCTCCTGAAAAATAAAATGTACAAAGCGAGTTATTACCATATCATTCAGGCTGAATATAATAGTTCCTTCTTCTTAATGAATATAAATGATCATATAAAAATGTTCACATATATTTTATACATAAATCCCAAAACAAGCCAACAATTTGTTTGCTACATTCACAAGGACCTTGGGTTTATCCTTCACATAACCTTGCATCTGACAGCTAAATGACTTTCCAAGCATCCACATACAGTATTTTACTCCACAGGTTTTCTTAATCTCAGAATTACAAATCAAAGTTAACTTCATGAATATAAAACATTTCACTGAGCTACTCACGCACTGTCCTTCCGAGCAGCAGGTCAGGTCCAGGGGATGCCTCAGAGTTACACTGGCTCCGGGTAACTAGAGTAACATGGAGATGTGCCGGGGTGTTAACGGGCGGAGTCCTGACTACAGCCGTCTCTGGGTCAGCATGATCGGCATCTATCCTACCAGTCAGCATTGCAACAGCAAAGATATTCCGACAGCCTGGCTCAGCTTACCTTTCAGTAGTTTTCCGCCCGTTGAGGGAAGGACTTCATATTGCAGTCAGCATGTCGAGACACAAAACAAGTGCTAGCCAAAATAAGATAGCATATTCGAGGAACATGTATGCTACATTTGAGGTTACTTTAAGAACTATATATGGGTGTGTAGTGGGGTTCTTGTATTCCTGACAACTCTTACACTTTAAGAAATATACTTACATATGAGAGTCGTTATAAAAACAATGTTTAAAACATCTACGTTGTTCCAGGTGGGCCGCGCATTGATATGTTGATGAACTATCAGGTGACAAGGCCAGACGTGGGGTAATGAATTCAGCCTATTAAACAAATATCAGAAATATCTTGTGACAAATGTGTCAGAAAATAGTAATACAAATCAAAAGGGACAATTTAAAGTTGAAGATTGCTATTAACAGTGATGACAAACATCAAACATTGACAAACATCATATGTGTAATTCGTGGCACAATTAAAACGGGATCGAAAGATAATCTTTCTCTCTCCATTGACTTCAATACATACTTTTTCCGAAATAAGGTCCCATGGAGGTCCACTGGAAGGGGAGGGACTTCGCCACTCTATTGTAACAACAGAATGTTCTCAATTTAATATTTGTAATGTAAATAAGTGTATCAGCCAACATGCTCCGTGTCTATTCGGGGAAACAGAGTGTCTTTGTTTTAAACTAGATATTGTAATTTTTTTAAAGGCTATTGTATGAGTCCAGAGATAGGGATTCAAAACCCAAAATGGGGAATGGTTTTCATTTGGTGTGACTGGTTTTGAGAACAAAACATACAGCTCTTTGGATGATAAATAAGTTGCATTTGGGCTTCTTGTCAGTAGGTGGCGTCCCATCCCTTTCCTATTGGTGATATGGGACCAGTCAGACACATGTTGCATTTAGGATGCACTTACTGACCAGGAACTGGTATTATAATAAAATAGTTAAAGAATTTGACTATTTTAATATTTTACTTAAGTAAAAATAGTAAAAACCATTGTAGAAATATTGTGTTAAAATGAGTCCAAATAAAAATAGACTCAGACTAACAAAAGTAAAAGTACTTATAATGCATAATGGCCTGTTAGAAATAGTGCATATTGTATTAGAATTAGTGATGTATTTAAGTGTTCTTTACTTTATCGCAGCTAAATGCGTAGCTCATTTTAATTCCTAATATTCTGCTGTAGCTTGTGAATGTCTCCCCATGAATTAATACATTTGGATTGTAATAGTACATCATGATCTATTTGTTAGTGATATGTTGTACTATTAACCTGAATCTGCAAGTCATTTCAGTTGTCAAATTAATGTAGTGGGTTAAAAAATGTGGAGAAGAAGTATAAAATAGCAGAAATCATAAAAGTATCCATGTAAATTACAAATACCTCAACATTTTAGTTACCTACAGTAGCCTACTTTAGTAATTGTACTTACTATCTCTACTACAGGGTATAATCAGTACTATTTTGTATTCTCATAACAGGCCATGTTTTCTTAAACTGTTCATCACAAATTGGAGCAAATCCAGTCAAGTCTTTTTTACAGTCTTGTTTAGACTAACAGACATGTGTAAAGTAATTGAGAGGTTCTCGTGAGACTCATGGCGTAATTAAATGGACCGTGCTCCCTGTGCATTTCCCCAGGAGAGCAGATTGAAACAGGACACTTACGGCCCGTCCACACTACGGCTTCAAAAAAAGCTTGGAGCTGGGCGTGTCTGAAGCTTGGGGATTTTATTCGAGCACCGCGACCAACAACCAATCACATGAATGTCCCGCCCGGGACATTCTTTCACACACACATACGGGTATTGGGCCGAGGGCGACACCGTACTTCCGGTATCCGCCATTTCACACGAGGTGCAAGCAGAATATCATAGTCTATTGCCTTAATCAATATCTAGTCAACTCTAAAATACCACATATTATATGCAATAGCATGATAATATTATTGTGACAAGTGGGGTATTCACCTGGTGTTTCCAGAAATTAGATGTAGATGCAGCCAAAATCGACGAAGGCCACTTTCGAGGGTCGTTTTTCCATACATCTGCAGGCAGGTAAGGGCAATCGGAAAACCCACACAGCTCTAGTTTACGCTGGTAACGACCTAGAGCACACCCCTCAAGTCCAGAGATGTAATCCGAAGACATGCAGCGATTTCTTCGGTCGTTAATTCAGAAAAAACCTAGTGTGCTCTGCCTGGCTACGTTAGCTAGCTGTTTATATTGCACCTCCAGGATATTTGCACCTCCAGGAAAATGGTGTATTTATATATATATATGGCACGCGTTGCATTGTGGGTAGCTCGTGACGTCACTGTGTGTGAAAGAATACAAAGCAAAAAAAACAGGTTCTTCTCCACTATTGCTAAAATGGATGCCGGTGTTGTAGCAAGGGTAAGAAGGGCAATAAGGGTAACACGTGTGTGTGCAAGGTTGCATAAAGTGTATACATTGTCTCGCAGGAAGCCATTTAGTGTGCGTCGCTGGGTCTGGTCATACAAAACCGGGTGATTTGCTACGGCGATAATTAGTTTCTCCTCCATCTTTTTTTGAAATATAGAAATGAACGGCGGGATATCTCTCCCAGCTTAGACGCGGTTTGATTGGCAGATTTTCAGAAACGGGATTTGATTGGCTGGCGCTGGCTACTCCGGCGTCTCCGGAGCCGGCGGAGACGGACCGCTATGCTACCCACAATTCAGTTCGGCAAAAAGCGAGGCAACGTGACGTCACCCCATTCAAAGTGAATGGGCAGACGCGTTGGAAACCGTTTTTGAAGCTGTCGTGTGGACGGGCCGTTACTAAATCACAACACAAAGCCGTGTTTTAAAAGCAGATGTAACTCATATCAGGGTTTCCCACACAGCGAATCACACACATACAAGTAAATATCATTATGTTACTCTCTAGAAATATGGAAAAAGTGTGCCATGCAAATAATTTAATGAATATTACCACCAAAAATACAGTTGTAGGTAAGTGGAATTGTAGCTGAATTCTAGAATGCAGATCAAATATAAAATAATTGTTGCCCAACATTATAAGCAATGCCATTCTCTTTGATTGTATATGTTACAGTTATAAAACTGTGCTATTGAGCACATGTTTGTTGTAGGACACAGTTCTGAAGGAGTTTCATCTCCAGTTCAAATCATGAAAAAAAAGTTGTTTCCAAAGGACTACTTCAAAAGTTTTTTAATCCAAATAAAAACATGGTGATAGAAAGCTGGTAGGTGGGAGTTAAAATGATCATGACTTTGTGTCTGTCACCTGGAAGCTGTCACAACAGAGCGGCGGTGGCTGTTACGCAAGTGTGTTTGGTAGTGACGCAATAAATGAACCCGGATGCTGAAGCTGTACCAACAAAGAGTTTAGGGAGCATCACCACGGAACTCCCTGTGGAGATTAAAAGTGTGTGGTTTGTTGGTTCACTGGGTGTTTGTGTGTCTTCCCTACACCCCGGCAGGAAAGGACTTTTTCTCTCATGATCGCAATAAACAAGAAGACATAAACATGCTCTATTTGAGAAGTCTGAGTTCAAACAAATGGTGTCCTTTCCTTTTAAATAGCACTTCACATCATTACAGTATTTCTATTGGGCGCGACTGAACTCTTGAATGAACAGGATACTTGTCAGCATTCAGGCCCATCAGTCACATTAGATTTAACAATATGGATATGTTTTGCTAGAAAGTTGGACATGAATGAATATCTCATTGAGATATATATGTAACCCACTGGCACACCACACAGAAAAAGTGCTGAGTCATTTTGGGGGTGGTTCCACAATTTCATGTGAAGTAGACCGCCTTAATCAAGTCCATACCCCGATCTTGGAATTTTCCAAGGAACACTAAGACCCCGGCCACACGAGGACGAAAACGGCTAAACGCATAGGATTAACGCAAACGCAATCGCAAACAAGCTTCCGTCCACACGGATAGCTATCCGGATAGTGTCTGCCCACACGAGAACGCTCCGTTTAGCTCCAACCGCTGGAGAAGCTGCAGTACATATGCAGGAGCCTGTACGTGGCGCTGTAACTTCCTCCACAAAAGCAGCGAAGAAGCATGGTTGTCATGGTTGCCCTTCTGTTTATTCTCCGCGGTGGGGTCCGAGGGAACCGAGTTTTTCGCCAGTCAACGTGTATTAAAGTTTAAACCTTCCGACAAAATTATAAAAGTGCCGGTCAAAGGTCTTCTTTGTTATTTATTGAGCTTTAAAACAA